AAGTTGGCATAATTAGTACTCTATTTTACTCTTATTAAATTATATAAATAATAATTTAGTAGCTACTACAAAAAATTATAGATATGCATTTCTTTAATTTAGAATTATGTGTCCACAATGCCTTTATTCAAAAAAGAATTATTTATTATCAATAAATTAAATAAGAGAAATAATTCTATTAGTTATATTGTCTTTATTTTTCTACAATATAAAAATTCTTTATATTCAAATTTATTAATTGATTATATTCGCTACATTGTCCTTACAATGTCTTAATTTAGTGAAAAAAATTATTCATTATCAATAAATTAATTAAGAGAAATATTTTCATTAGTTATATTGTCTTTATTTTTCTCAAATGTAAATATTTTTACATTCAAACATCAATTGATTATATTCACTATATTGTCTATTATCTTTTTTGTGCACTATTTTTCTAATTAAATATCAAAGTTATAATACAAAATAATGCTATATATTTATTTACCAAGTATTTTATTAATACCATGAAAAAATTAAAAAATATATAATTAATAAAGCAAACTATATTAACTACTTGAGAGATTTTGTGACAAAGAGAGTATTCAAATCACACAACAAATTGAAGTGAGAACTACCTTGCAATGTCCTTGTTTGACAATCAGCAGTTAGCGGATTATATTAGCGGATTTGACCAACGAATTTATTTAATTATTAACATTGGGTATAAAAAATGACCGCCAAATTATTAAATCAAATGAATGGTTCAAATTGTTCAGGTTTTGATTTTTTTAAAAGTTTTTCTAATTTATCCTTAATAATATGATTATCCATTTAACTTTTCCGTTAGATACCGTTAATTCACCGTTAGTCTAATTCTAATATTAACGTCTAATATAGAATTATAATTACACCATTAATCTAATTCTAATATTAAAGTCTTAATAGAACTTAACCACAAATCCTAATGTCGAAATCTCCTCAAACAATATTAGTATATATTTAATATTTTATGTCCTAATTTTTATTTGTTCTCCCTTATGTCCCGTAGTTGGTTTCAATCATACCTATACAATTATTTTATTGACAATTATAATCAATCTTGACTATATTATCTTGCATTTGTAAACTTAGAATTACCTATTTAACCCGCACGGGCTTAGCTCAATGGTTTAGTGGGCAGTATTTGGGAGAAGAGACCAAGGTTTGAGCCTCGGCGGCGGCAGTGCGGGAATTATGTCTAAAGTGGGCAGATTCCTTGTTCGCACTGGCATTTGGTCCTGTTTGCTGAACCATTGAGTCACCGTGATTTACAACTTTTCACAATGCTCTGTCGGGTCGGAGTGTGGGGGGCACTTGGGGTTGGGGACTCAACCTTTGGGAGAAGAATTACCTATTTAAATATGCAAATTCAACCATCAATTATCTATGCATGAACAATTTCAATATAATCTTGCCTTAATATACTTTAAAGTACTTATTTAAAAAAAAAAACATTGGACATTATCCCAATCGTGCAATGCGCGTAAAAAACTAGTATACTAATAAGAGCCCAAGAGAGTTAGGCCTATAATGGGTAGAAAAAATGGCGGTCAAATTTTTTAATCAAATGAATGGCTCAGATTGATCAGATTTTAATTTTTCCTTAAGATTTCCTAATTTATCCTTAATGAATGTGATTTTCCGTTAACTTTTCCGTTAAATATTATCTTTTCCATTAATTTCTGTTAGTTCACCGTTAACTTACTCATTGATTTTAATAAGAATTTAAAGGTCTTAGGTTCGAACCTTATCCCAATCAAAGTTGGCATAATTAGTACTCTATTTTACTCTTATTAAATTAATTTAGTAGCTACAACAAAAAATAATACATATCATTTTTTAATTTAGAATTATGTGTCTAGAATGCCTTTATTCAAAAAAAATTATTCATTATCAATAAATTAAATAAGATATAATTTCATTAGTTATATTGTATTTATTTTTCTCCAATATAAAAATTCTTTATATTCAAATTCATCAATTGATTATATTTGCTACATTGTCCCTACAATGTCTTTATTAAAAAAATAATTCATTATTAATAAATTAATTAAAATAAATAATTTTATTAGTTACATTGTCTTTATATTTCTCCAATGTAAAAATTCTTTACATTCAAATTCATCAATTAATTATATTCACACATTGTCTATTACCTTTTTTGTGCACTATTTTTTTAATTAAATATCAAAGTTATAATACAAAATAATGCTATATATTTATTTACCAAGTATTTTATTAATACCATGAAAAAATTAAAAAATATAATTAATAAAGCTAATCATATTAATTATTTGAAGGATTTGTTGACAAAGAGACTATTCAAATCACACAACAAATTGAAGTGAGAACAACTTCGCAATATTCTTGTTTGACAATCAGCAGTTAGCGGTTAGCATTAGCGGATTATATTAGCGAATTTGACCAGCGAATTATATCAATGGTTGGTAAAAAGATATTTGAAAAAATTAGTTGTTTAGATTAACATATAAAATGAACTAAGGGTATGATATAATAATAATAATAATAATAATAGTAATAATAATAATAATAATAATAATAATAATTTTAAAAAATAAAAAATAAAAATAAAAAATATAATTAAGTCAATCATATTAACTACTTGGGGGATTTATTGACAAAAAGAGTATTCAAATCACACAACAAATTGAAGTGGGAAACTATCTCGCAATGTCCTTGTTTGGCAATCAGTAGTTAGCTCTTCAATATTAGTATATACGGAGTATTTAATAATTTATGCCCTAATTTTTATTTTCTCTCCCTTATGTCCTGTATTTGGTTTCAACCATACCTGTACAATTATTTTATTGACAACTATAATCAATCTTGACTATATTATCTTGCATTTGTAAACTTAAAATTGCCTATTTAAATACACAAATTTAACATTCAATTATCTATGCATGAACAATTCCAATATAATCTTGCAATGCGCGTAAAAAACTAGTATACTAATAAGAGCCCAAGAGAGTTAGGCGTATAATGGGTAGAAAAATGGCGGTCAAATTTTTTAATCAAATGAATGACTCAGATTAATCAGATTTTAATTTTCCCTTAAGATTCCCTAATTTATCCTTAATGAATATGATTATCCGTTAACTTTTCCGTTAAATATTGTCTTTTTTCGTTAATTTCTGTTAGTTCACCGTTAACTTACTCATTGATTTCAATAAAAAAAGTTTTAGGTTCGAACCTCATCACAATCAAAGTTGGCATAATTACTACTCTATTTTACTCTTATTAAATTAAAATAATAATTTAGTAGCTACAACAAAAAAAATACATATGCATTTCTTTAATTTAGAATTATGTGTCTACAATGTCTTTATTCAAAAAAAATTATTCATTATCAATAAATTAAATAAGAGAAATAATTTCATTAGTTATATTGTCTTTATTTTTCTCCAATATAAAAATTTTTTACATTCAAATTCATCAATTGATTATATTTGTTACATTGTCCCTACAATGTCTTTATTAAAAAAAATTATTCATTATCAATAAATTAATTAAGAGAAATAATTTTATTAGTTATATTGTCTTTATATTTCTCCAATTTAAAAATTCTTTACATTTATATTCATCAATTGATTATATTCACTACATTGTCTATTATCTTTTTTTGTGCACTATTTTTTAATTAAATATCAAAGTTATAATACAAAATAATGTTATATATTTATTTACCAAGTATTTTATTAATACCATGAAAAAAATATAATTAATAAAGGCAATCATATTAACTACTTGATGGTTTTGTTGACAAAGAGAGTATTCAAATCAGTAATGTAATTAATAAAGCCAATCATATTAACTATTAGCGGTTAGCGTTAGCGGATTTGACCAGCAAATTATATCAACGATTGATAAAAAGATATTTAAAAAAATTAGTTGTTTAGATTAACATGTAAAATGCCCTAAGGGTATACATATATTTAATAATAATAATAATGATAATGATAATGATAATAATAATAATAATTGTTTAAAAATATATATATAATTAAGCCAACCATATTAAATACTTGGGAGATTTATCGACAAAAAGAGTATTCAAATCACACAACAAATTGAAGTGGGAAACTTGTTCGCAATGTCCTTGTTTAGCAATCAGTAGTTAATTCTTCAATATTAGTATATATTTAATATTTTATGCCATAATTTTTATTTGCTCTCCCTTATTTCCCGTATTTGGTTTCAGTCATACCTATACAATTATTTTATTGACAATTATAATCAATCTTGACTATATTATATTGCATTTGTAAACTTAGAATTACCTATTTAAATATGTAAATTCAACATTCAATTATCTATACATGAACAATTCAAATATAATCTTGCCTTGATATACTTTAAAGCACTTATTAAAAAAAAAACATTGGGCATTATCTCAATCGCGCAATGCGCGTAAAAAACTAGTAATAATAATGTTAGCTGTAAAAAAAGAAATATATAAAAGGATTTGAAATTTTAACTTAATAATAATAATAATATTAGCAGTAAAAAAGAGAAATGAAAAATTTGTGTAATGTGGATATAATAAGTAGTACTTGCTAAGCACCTTGTGTTCAAATGACATTTAGTGACTTTTCTTATGTGAGAGGTCATGAGATTGAGCCTCAGTGGAGGTGTTGTTGACTCTTTGCGCTTCATTAGGTTAAGAAATTATGTTTGAACAGATACTACAATGTAATAGAGTTAGAAGTATTAAAAAAAAAAAGTAGTACTTACTTTATACGTCTGGAGTGGGTTAGTAGTCCGTATGCGCTACGTATTGGCGTACCGCGTACCAACAGAAGCGTGATATCATTTGCATTTGAGCATGAAACGCGGTTCAAGAATCAAGACTTCAAGTCTTCAAGAGTTCACCGTACGACGCCGTTTCGCTCAAGAATCAAGACTTCAAGTCTTCAAGAGTTCATTGTACGACGCCGTTTCTCTCTCTCTCTCTTCAGTCAGTCTCTCTTTTGTCTTTTCTCTCTCGTCCCCATACAGTCCTCCCATTTCACTCTCACCCTCTCTGCAACCTTCTCTCTCTCTCTACGCTACTCTGCTCTCTCGCATTTTCTCTCTCTAAACGGCGGACTTTGCTTCCTGCTTCGCTCTCGGTCATTGCGGCTCGCGGAGTTTGCCCTAGACCGCAATCGCGGCTCAGATCTAACTCCTCGCGTTTCGGTTTAGTGTTGCAGAATTCGCGTCGGTGAAGCTATGTGTTGGTAGGATAATGGCTAGCTCGGACCCTAGTAAGAAGACCCGACCCGGTCCATGGCCGCCCGCACCGGCAGCTCCCGCAATGCCGCCGACTACCTGGGCAAAGCGGACTGGATTTCGCCCCAAGTTCTCCGGAGAGACCAATGCCAGTAACTCCGGCCAAATTGCGCCCCGGCCGCAAGATCAACCCCAGGCTCAAGCCCCCGCGCGGACCAGGGGGGTGGATTCTAGTCTGGATCTCGAAGCGGGGAGGGCTAGGCCGGAGAAAGCTAACGGGGAGCAGGCGAATGAGAAGCCGCAGCAGCCGGAGAAGGATCATCCGGTGAGGAAGCGGAGGGATTCTGACGGCGGCGGCGCGCCGAAGAGTACCGTAGCTAATGGACAGGCGGTGACTGGCACTGAGCCAGCAACGACGGCTGCTGGTGGGCAGCAGCCGAGTCGAAGAGCATTGAGGAATGAGGAGGTGGTAGACACGTTGCCACAGTCTATTGATGATGACTTCGCGAGGCATTCACATATGAAGTACGAGCTTAGAGATGTACCTGGTCTTGGTGAGCTTGTGCTTGGTGTTTCACGATATATTCAAATTTGATTACTGCGGAAGTTTTTTTTTTTTTTTTTTTAAATCAAATTCCATGCTTATTTGAGCAGTATTATTATTATTATTTTTTTTTTCTTTCTTCCTTCTCTTTCTTGAAGTTATAGTTTATAATAATGGGTTAACATTCAGAGGCTTATACTCTTTGCTTATTTGCTAATATAAGGGTGGCAGCTACAGTGTTTTTTTTTGGGGGGAGGGTATATTATTGGTACTCCTTAATTTGTGATTCAGAAAATTTGTTTTATTTTTTTTCCCCACTTTTCTTTTGATATGTATTGAAAATATTGATTTTTGTTTCTCTTGTTTCAGTTCCTATTGGTTTCTATGGCTTACAACATTATCTTTCAATATTGGGTTCGTTGGTACTAATTCCACTTGTGATTGTTCCGGCAATGGGTGGCACCTATGTGAGCACTTGTAATTCATTCCTTATTTTACACTTAAAAAAGATTTCTTTTATTGTACTTCTGTTAGTAATTTCTTGAGTACTAATTCAATTTAGTGGATGTAGGAGGATACATCAAATGTTGTCTCCACTGTGCTTTTTGTGTCAGGAGTGTCTACACTTTTGCACACATTTTTCGGCTCAAGGTTGCCGCTAATACAGGGTCCTTCATTTGTTTATCTTGCTCCAGCACTTGCAATAATCAACTCCCCAGAGTTCTTAAGATTGAACGGAAATGTATGCTTCTAGATTTTTGTTTGTACCATATACAATGTTATTGGTGTTGTGAAGTTTTTGTATTGAGGAAGTACTTTTATCTTGCAGAATTTCAAGCATATTATGAAGGAGTTACAGGGAGCCATAATAATTGCTTCAGCTTTTCAAGCAATACTTGGATACAGTGGGCTTATGATGATATTTTTGAAGTAAGAATTTCTGTTTTCAAAAGTTCTTTTTTCTAATTTAGTGCCATAGAACTGTATCTGGAATGCTATGGTCGTTTGGAAAAGTGAGGTTGTGTGTTGCCAAATGCCAAAGTCAATAAATTTAAAATTTTGAATTCTGTTGTTAATTGTATCTTGTCTGCTGGTACCACATGTTTTTTCTATTATCCTATCAATCAAATGGTGATTCTATGCAAATGTGCTAATGGAAAATCGATCAGAGAGCTGTAGCTTTTAGTTTTATAATCTGACAATCAATTATTTGTCTATACCTTGGAAACATATTGGTAATTGTCATATTTCTGCCTAGTGTTGCAAAAATCTCGCCTAGGTACCGATTAATCGGCGCCTAGGTGCTGGCCGGCCGCCTAGCATATCACCATAATCAGTGGTCTAGGTGGCTGGTCGGCCGACTAGGCCGCCTAGACGCTGACCACCTAGGTCTCCTAGGTGCCGACTAGACCTCCTAGGCACTTCTTAGGCCGCCTAATTGGCCGATTAGCTATTGTTCCCTTCTTTTTTAATTAGGTTATTTCACTCAAAGCCACATCGTTTTGAGCGAAATAACCCTAAATTGTTTAAACTCTAGATGTTTTTTAGGTTAATATTTAATATTTTAGTATTAACTATTAAAGTATTAAATACTTTATAATTATCAAAGTCTTAAAAAATTAAAAAATTTTAAACAAATTTTTAAAAAATAAAAACTAAAATAAAAAATATACGGGCGCCTAGGCGCCAATTAATCTCCGCCTAGGCTCCCTAGGCGCTAGGCACCCCCCGAGCGCCCGAGGAGTGCCTAGCGATTTTTTCAACCATGTAATTCTGCCATAGCTAATAGATTATATAATATATACTCATTGTTTGTGTTGTCAATTCTTCTCAGTCTTGATTCCATTACCTTGCAGAACTACCCTAATTTGGCATGATATTTTTTCCATTCTCTTTTTCTTTCAATAACATGGATCTACTAATTAGTAATTACCATGCCTTTTTAATGAATTGGGATCTGCTTGTCATAGAGGCTGCCCAAATTTTTAACTGGATGTGAAGTTCTACTTGGACAACTTGTCTAGTGCAACCAGTTGTTCCATTTTAGTTAATCAGAGATGAATGAGTTTGCAAAGGGGTTGTAGATGATAAGAGATGATTGTGGATTGAAAAGGGGTTGTAGATGATAAGAGATGATTGTGGTTCTGAGCTAGTATGAAGCCCTTCTATTTAAATGTAAACTGCAAGGCAGAAAACCCAGTTTTCTTCCAAGAAATTACATGATAATATGCTGTCTTTTTTGAAAACATTATATATGTGTGAATCCAAATTACATCCCTGTTTGTTTTGTTTTGTTTTTTTTTGTTTGTTTGTTTGTTTTGTTTTTGTTTTTTGTTTTGTTTATTTATTTATTTATTTATTTATTTTCACTTTTAGTGTTAATAGATCTGTAAATTGTACTTAAAAGTATTGTACATTATATTTTTGGCAACAAAAGTGCCCTCATTCTGTTATAACTCCATTAGACTCCTGTTATTAAAGCAAATATTATGACAATCTAAATAGCTAATTAATCATACCATATTTATTTGTCATTTTATTAATTTTAGCCCAAAATTATTAGCTGACATATATGAATTACTTCCCTTTCTGTTTTCCATTATAAACAATATGGTAATAATTAATTTATGATATTCAAAAATTATATCTTTTCTCCAAAATATAGGATTTCCACAAGTATCACTTTGATGGGTTAAACTTTAAAAATAATATTTTAAAAGCATTTTTTATTGATAAATATTTTTATTTTTTCATATAAAAATTTTAACTTGATCATGATTTTAATATTGGGCTCAACCCTTTGCACATTCAGTGAAAAATGACTATTCATATTAATAAAACCATATGATTCATTTGATTATAATTATAAGAGGGTTAGCATGAAAATATTTTGATTTTTTTTTGGGTGATAATGCTTAAGGCTAGCATTTATAATGGGTACTGGGTAGCTGATTGAAATTAATGGTGAGAAAAGTTTTCAAATTGGAGATATACTAGTGTCATGAAATTTTTTTATTTAGTTGGTTGTTATAATGCTTCTGACAAATATCAATTAGCTTTCATAGTACCAGTCTCTCTTGGCTGCTTAAGTTAAAAACAGAAGTGGTAGATGCGAGATGTGTGAGCCAATTAGCTTTCATCGGTACATAATTTGCCTTTTCCATTTTCAGGTTGATTAATCCAGTGGTTGTTGCCCCTACTATTGCTGCTGTTGGGCTGTCTTTCTACAGTTATGGTTTCCCCCGAGTTGGTGCTTGTCTTGAAATTGGTGTTGTGCAGATCTTGCTAGCTATTATTTTTTCTCTTGTAAGTTTTTACAGTAAAACTTTATTTAATCTCCTTGTAATTTCATTTATTATGTTGGGTACTGCTGTATTAGTCTGGCATCTAAACATAAGACAAGTGCAACATCAAAATTTTGACTACTTCATGTTATTTTTTTCTTCATATTACTGGAGTTATTAATATTCAACTGCTTTAAACTATTTGTGTTTTTATAATTGGAAACTCTTCTTGTGTGGCAGTACCTTCGCAAGATTGCTATTTTGGGTCATCGTGTATTTCTGGTTTATGCGGTAAGTCTGTATTCCCTCTTTTTACTCTTATTAGATATTTAGATTTAGCTAAAGCATATGTTAGCTAGCTTAATAATTTCCTTCTACATATATTCACAGGTTCCACTGGGTCTGGCTATAACGTGGGCTATAGCTTATCTTCTAACTGAAGTGGGAGCCTATAGCTACAAGGGTTGTGATGTGAATGTACCAACATCAAATATAATATCTGATCATTGCAGAAAGCATATTTCTAGGATGAAGAGCTGTCGAGTTGATATTTCCCATGCATTAAGATCTTCCCCCTGGTTTAGATTTCCTTATCCTTTGCAATGGGGAACACCTGTCTTCCACTGGAAAATGGCTCTTGTGATGTGTGTCGTCTCCATAATCTCATCAGTGGATTCGGTGAGTACTCTCTTGTTTTACGTACTACATTTAATTTTGGAGTCTTTGTTTATGCTGGTTATAAAGTTGTCTACTATATAATTGGTTATTCAGTGCCTTCGACTCCTACACTCCCATACAGTGTACTGTAGCGAGAATCTCTAGTTCTCTATCCATGAAAATATGAAATGTTAGCTGCTTCTTTTTTTTTTTTTTTTTTTTTTTTTTTTTTTTTTTTTTTTATAATTTTTGCTTTGGGGATTATAAACTCAAGTCACTTGTGGGTTTATATATGAAACTATTCCAGACTAGGTTGAAGGTCATAAATAGTTTTCCAGTGAAAGGTCTAAACAATGTTGATCTGCTGATTTGGCAAGAAAGTAGAGATCGTATTAAATCTGGCAATGATGTATGCTCAAATTCAACAAATCTATACTGGTGGACATACAGGCAGAAGAATGTTAGATCAATTTTCATTCATTAAAAGCTCCTCTTGACAACTGAATAGATCACTACTTATAGAGTATACCAGCAAAATTATGATCATTAACTTGCTTCACTATATAGTTTTGCCTTGACTTCATATGCTGAAGTAGTGGCTAATGCCACTACAGAACTTTCAGCTGCAACTTTAGACCTTCACTCCCTGAAAGATGCTGACTTGAATAATCTAAGTATAATAAAGTAATAAACCACACCCAGTATAAAGCATATTCGGTAAAACTTTTTGAGATAAATCAGTAAAAACCTTAAGTGTTTTAACTTGGGAGAATATTTAATAGGGAGATGAAAAATTTTCCCTTGGTTAGTTTGGAAGTAAATATGAGGGAATAGACGGGGCACTCTTCAGTCTCCTAAGAAGTTGAGTTTTAATTCAAGTTTGGATGGGAAAAATGGAGAAACAGGAAACATCTCTCACCATGTTTCATCGTGCCTTTTTTTTGGGGGGGTCAAACTAAAAGAGGTGAAAGAACAGGGAGTTCCTATATCACGATGGAAAGTCAGTTATTTAGTTCTTCCATTTTCTATTGGTTCAAAATTTTAATCTACATAATATACCCAGCCAAAGAAAATACACCCTCTTTTTTTAAAATCTTCCCCTTTATGTATAGTTCATGCATTTATTTGAATTGCATCATATGCATATACTTGCATCTATGCTCTGTCGTCTGTACTCATATTCTCATTGTTTTTTTTTTTTTTTTTTTTTTTTTTTTTTTTTTTTTTTTTTTTCAAAGCATTGGCATAGAATGGATATATTTGTTAAACAATATCGAAAAGATAGCTACTTTTAGAGCGAAACTTTAAAAAACTGCAAAGAAAAAGAGCAGTTCATATTATTGGCAACTTGAGTTCGAAAACCATACTTTTTGAAGATTTATCTATACATGCATTACAGTATTTTGATGGTGAATTGATTTCTCAATTTAGGTCGGTTCATATCATGCATCGTCATTATTGGTGGCATCTAGACCACCTACACCTGGTGTTTTGAGTCGAGGAATTGGTCTTGAAGGTCTTACTAGCCTCTTGGCTGGTCTGTGGGGGACAGGAACTGGGTCTACAACTTTAACTGAGAATGTGCACACCATTGCTGTCACTAAGATGGGAAGCCGCAGAGCAGTTTCACTGGGAGCAGTTGTTTTAATTGTTCTATCCCTTGTAGGTATGTGTTTCTTTCTGTGTCTGTTATTGAGTATGCATAACAATTGGAAGTAAATGTAAGAATCCGGGAAGGGTGTTGTGGACATGTGCGGATGCAGTCTTCTGGGACTGCATGCTTGGATATAAAGTTTAGTGTGTTTTTTTTTTCTTTTGGATATGAAGTTTAGTGTTTTTTTTTTTTTTTTTTCAATTGACTTTAGCAAAAAGAGTTTGTGATGTATGAATGGAAGCCGCAAATCTCCTTTTGAGGATTGAGTTCCAACATATGCAATTGTAGTAACTTGATGATAGGCTAATACACATCTGGGTACCCGTTTTAAGAAAAAGGGGACCGTTTGGGCCACGGGTGGTTTTATTAATTTGAATAGATTTGCTGGGAAATTTCCTGATCAAATTTATGTTTCACTTGTATCGTTCAATTTTATGTTAACCTATATCTGCTATCTTGACAGGCAAAGTAGGGGGATTTATTGCTTCAATTCCACAAGTCATAGTTGCAGCTCTACTATGCTTTATGTGGGCGATGCTTACGGCATTGGGCTTGTCAAATTTACGCTACAGTGAGGCAGGAAGCTCAAGAAACATTATCATTGTTGGATTATCATTGTTTTTTTCCCTGTCAGTACCCGCCTACTTCCAACAGTATGGTATCTCTCCGAACAGTAATCTGTCTGTTCCTAGTTATTTTCAGCCCTACATTGTTGCTTCTCATGGTCCCATCCGCACCAAGTATGGAGGGGTATGTATGCATCTTCGCCTACTTACATTGGGCGCATTATCTGAATTCCCCCTAAATATATACTATTCATTTTTGCAGCTAAACTATATCTTGAACACGCTTTTTTCACTGCACATGGTGATTGCTTTTCTGGTAGCTGTGATCCTGGACAACACCGTGCCAGGCAGCACCCAGGAACGAGGGGTGTACATGTGGTCTGAACGCGATGCTGCCAGAAGGGAACCCGCTGTAACTAAAGACTACGAATTGCCATTTAGAGTCGGGAGAGTATTCAGATGGGTAAAATGGGTGGGGCTTTAGCACTCTCCGACTCGTAGCCTGCCCTGATTACCATTTTTCAAGCTCATTCCAGGCGTCTATCCCTTAATGGAATGAGTTTGGCATCTGCAGTGCCATTTTCACCGGATGCCGCTTCTTGGGAGTGTAGGCGCCCGCCTTATAGAGGTAATCTGTGTGTATATTGGAGGATCCGGGGAATGTGTTGTAATGGATATAATATTGTATGTATTTTTTTGAAGCTGAAAGATGTCCTGATGGACTTTTGCTATTCATCTGTTCTGCTGCACAGCTGCTTTTTGATCAATTGAATTTTCAATGCTATATATTAATGAATGTTCATTCTATTCTATTCAAAGATATCTATAGAATTTACAGAACTCCTTTCAGTATCAGAAGGAATTGTTGTTGCTTTTCACAATCAAATTCTAGGGTGCTATTTGATTGGATTGAGGATCAGAAAGTTTGGGAAATTTTTGAACAGATACTAATGTACAGCTTTATTTGAGACTTGGTGGGATTAATTTCATTATTTAATTGTGGATCAGTGTAGTATTTTTAAAATTTTGAAAAATTATATACTCCGTAGTTTTTACTTTCTATTATCTTGTATTTATTTGTTGTATTCTGAGACTCTTCTAATTAATCCAGAATTACAGTTCTCATCTAGTATCAGTAGTCTAGGTTTCTTGCTATAGCTACTCAGTCTTGGATATGGCCGCCATGTTTTCTATGCCTGTGGTAACAAATTCGTTGTCCACGACTCATCACTTTGTTAACATTAAATTAACTATAAGAAATTTTCTATTCTGGAGAACTCAACTTGTCCTGTTCTTTCGGGTCAGAATCTAATGAGGTATGTTGATGATACTGTGCCATGCCCTCCCTCTATTCTTACCGTTGGACCTGCTACGTCGTCTGGTGCATCGGTCACACAGCCCTATCCTGCCTACGCTACCTGGGTGCAACATGATCAAACAATTTTATCAATGCTGGTGGTGACGTTGTTGTTGTTGCATATGGACCGTCTCCACTGCCTAATGCATTTGCTATTCATCGAAGCAATGGACATTCTGGAGATTACATTGGAAATTCTGGGCAGCAGCGTAATTCATGTAGACGAGGTGGACAATCCCGCGGTGGCAGTCAGCGAGGTGGCTGGCAGCATGGCGGTCACAACAGGGGACGTGGTAAATCGTGTGGATGGGGGGTGGGGGGGTGGGGGGGGGGGGGGGTTCTCTCCTAGGTGTCACAAGGTCACACGACGGTTAATTGTTATCGTCGTTATTCTAGTGCTCCGGGTCCTCAAGCTCAATTGACTTTTCAAGATGGTGTTGGTTTAGATGTGTCTTTTGGGTCTCACACATGGTTTCCAGATACTGGGCTACTAATCATGCAGCTCCAGATATACCAGCTCTTTCTACTTCGGAGGAGTATATTAGTAATGACACTTTACGTGTCGAAGATGGTATGAGTCTGTCTATTAGTCGTGTTGGTCATGTTTCTTTTAATACCCCATCTAGGTCCTTTAGGATATCTAATATTTTGCATGTTCCTGGCTTATCTGCTTCCTTGCTTTATGTTCAACATTTTGCTTCTGATAATCAAGTATTCTTTGAGTTTTACCCTCCGTTTTTTTTTTTGAAGGATATCGCCATCAAGGCGGTGCTACTTCAAGGCAATAGTTCTGGTGGGCTCTACTCCGTGCCAGTGTCTCGTTCCACTCCTTCTGCGCTCCTGTCAGCACGATCTTCTGCTTTAATCTGGCATAGTCGTCTTGGTCATCCACATCAGTGTGTCCTTAGTCGTGTCTTGCAGTCTTGTTCGGTTAATAGGTCTAGTAAACCTGTTAGTGATACTTCGTTGTGTTATGCGTGTCTGCTGGAAAAATTTGCGTGTTTTCTCTTGTCACGTGTTGAGTCTTCTAGTTCTAATGTTCTTGATTTAGTTTACACTGATATTTATGCGCCTGCCCCACTTCTTTCTTCTAGTAGAAACCGTTATTTTGTTATCTTTGTGGATGATTATTTTTGTTATACAAGGTTTCTTCCAATGCGCTTGAAATTTGATCTGTATGATATTTTTGAGCGTTTTCGTGTGTTAGTTGAACGTTCATTTTCTCGTAAAATCAAGTCTATACAGTTTGATCTGGGTGCTGAATATAAACAATTACATTCTCTTTTTCTAAAATTGGGCATTAATCATAGACAGTCTTGTGCTTATATTCATGAACAGAATTATCGTGTTCAAAGATGACATAGCCATATTGTTGAAACTGGGCTAACTTTTATGGCCCATGCTTTTGTTCCATCTCGTTTCTGGGATTTTTCTTTTGAGTCTGCTATCTATCTGATTAATAAAATGCCTTCTCGTGTCTTGGATAATTCTAGTCCACATTATATGTTGCATAGATCTCATTTTTCTTATTCTTTATTGCGAGTGTTTGGTTGCTTATGTTATTCTCACTTGTGTCCCTATAATCGTCACAAAATGAGTCCAGATCTTCTTTCTGTGTTTTCCTAGGTTATCCTGAGTCGTTTCGGGGTATAGATGCATGGATCTTCACACTAATAAAATATATATTTGCAGGCATTTGAGGTTTGATGAAACATTGTCTCCTTTTTCCACTAAGACAGTTTTGCAGGCACCCTCGGTTAAGCAGCATCATCCTTGGGCGGTTTCCTCTGTGCCCTTTCATTTTGTTCAGCCTTCTGTTTAGCTGCATGTCCCTTCTGCTTATGAGAAACCTGCATCCTCACGTGATGTTGGTCCTGCTCCACAGCAACATGTTTCAAAGCCAGTTACACCCACACATGGTATGGTCACTAGGAATATGTCACGTGCTACGCCAGCAGTTTTAACTACTCAGGTTTTTCCCTCTGAGCCCACTTGGTATACACATGCTGTTAAATATCCAGAGTGGCGTACAACTATGGATTAGGAATTTAATGCACTTCTTCAGAATCAGACATGGCGTTTGGTTCCTTTTCATACTGGTATGAATGTTATTGCTGTAAGTGAGTTTTTCGTACTAAGAGGAAAGCTGATGGATCTATTGAACATCACAAGACTCTGTTGGTAGCTAAAGGATTTAATCAGGTTCCTAGTCAAGAATTCTTTGATATGTTCAGCTCGGTGGTTAAGCCCACAACTGTTATGTTACTTTTATCTTTAGCTTTGTCCTCTGGTTGAGTTGTTTGCCAACTAGATGTTCATAATGTTTTTTTAAATTGTAACTTGACTGAGACTGTATATATGCGTCAACCTCTTGGGTACACTGATAAGAAATTCCCAAGTCATGCCTGTCTATTGCAACGTTCTCTTTATGGTCTTAAACAGGCTCTTAGGGCTTGGTTTCATCGTTTGCGTACTTTTCTTCTATCAGTTGGTTTCCAGACCTCAAAGACATATGTATCTTTGTTTTATTATTCGAAGGGCTCTTCGTGTGTTTACCTACTAGTATATGTTGATGATCTTCTTATGTATGGGAAGTGATCAGAAATTGGTGAATCTCTTGTTATCTAAGTTGTCTGCAGCTTTTAAAATTCGTGATTTGGGAGCTGTAGGTTTCTTTCTTGGCATTGATACTATACGAGAATCTGGTGGATTGTTGCTTTCATAGCGTCATTATATGATTGATATACTGAGGCGTGCAGACATGACAGATTGTAAACCACTCGCCACTCCTATTGAGCTGTATGACGATCCCACGCAGTACCGCAATCTAGCTAGGGCGTTGCAGTACTTGACTATTATGCATCTTGATTTGTCTTTTGCAGTGAACCAACTCTGTCAGCACATGCATGTTCCCATGGTCACGCATTGGGCTCAACTAAAACGAACGCGTGTTGAGGTATGTTAAAGGCACTATTAATTTTGGTTTGCATATACATAAGTCTGTGGCAAATGATCTTCATGCTTTCTCGGACTCTGACTGGGCTGTGTGTCCTGAAGATCGTAAGTCCACAAATGGTTTTGTTGTGTTTCTTGGTTCAAATCTTGTGTCTTGGGTGTGTAAGAAACAACAAACTGTGGCTCGATCTTCAACTAAAGCTGAATATAAAGCTCTAATTGATGTGTGTGTTGAGATAATTTGGATTATATCTTTGCTACGTGATTGGTGTTGCTAATATTCCTGTTCCCAAGTTATGGTGTGATAATCTTGGTGCTATCTACATATGTGCAAATCCTATATTCCATGCTCGTACCAAACGCGTAGAAATTGATTATCATTTTATTCGTGATAGAGTGGTTGCTGATGATGTTCAAGTTAATTTTATTTCTACCAAAGATCAATTTGAAGATATTTTCACAAAAGCTCTTCCAGACCCCATTTTTCGTTTCTTAGAGACAAGCTACAGGTTATTAAGTTACTATATACTTGAGAAGTTGAGGGGGAGTATTAAGACTCTTTGTATCCTATTTATATTAGAACTCTTATCTTATATTTATTTACTGTATTCTATAACTCTTCTAATTAAATCAAAATTACACTTCTCATCCCCTAACTTAAACCTAGAATGGTAAGACTTTGGATAATGAATATTTTGCTCTCCCCTACACATTCATATCAGTTTTTTTTTTCTTTTTTCTTTTTTATTTTTTTTTAAATCTTCCATTTTGGATTACTAGTCTTTAAGCGCTCTAAAATAAATGTAGCAAATGCTATTGACACATTAATTTTAGAAGAGTTTTAGTTTAACTTGCAATAGTTGCAAATAGCACTCAGTATTCTTATGTGACAAATTTAATTCTCATTAAGAGAGGGCTTGGTCTAGACTCCAGAGATTTTTAACACAACACACAATCAATTATCCATAACGTGGGCAAAGAAAGCTACAATCGTTATATTGTAGACCACTAATATACATGTGATTTTTAGTAGATTGTATATTTATTTTTACTATACTACAAACTATTTTTTGTATATTGCAAGTTTATTTTTAATGTATTATCTAAAAACGAACAAATAGTACATTAAATATGAACCTGTAGGTTGCAGTAGACTAAAAATGAATATGTACTAGTGTCGACCATAAATAAATGTATATTTTTAATATATTAAAATGTACATTTTGACATAAAATAATACCAAATAATGTATCTTCAATATCCAAATAATGTAACTTCAAAAAATAATACTTTAATGTATAAAAAATATACATTTAATATAATAAAAATGTATTTTATGCCAGCAGTTCACCTTGCAAAGTAGTAATCCTTATACCATCAACCACTGTTCACACTACACTATGGACCCTGGTTCTAGGGGTGTGCATCGGACAGTTCGGTTCGGTTCGGGGTGGGGTTTGACTAAACCGCTCGGATTTCGGTTTGGGAATTGTAAAACCGGTCCTAACATTTTATTTATTAAATCTTTCGGGTTCTTTAATTTTCGGGTTCGGTCGGGTTGGTCGGATATCCGACTCATGTTCGGGTGAAGCAAAATTGATATAAGAATAATAAAACTATAAAAGTAAATCAAGTAAATTCAAGACAAAATGCCTTAATGCCTTAATGCCATACAAAAAACTAGAATTACAGATTACACTTCACAACTTAGCAGATTACACTTCACAAAAAACCAGAATTATAGATTTACAAATTCACAAAAAGCCATGTTGAATTGTTGATTCCTGATCACAAAAAGCCATGTTGATTCTTGATCACAAAAAGCCATCCTGATTCCTGAATCTTGATCCTAGTCTAAATCTGTAAATCTGTAATACTCCTAGTGTAGTAGTGTTCTAGACTGCTATTCTTCTTCTTGTTAAAATTTAGTGCAATTTAGTAAAGGAAACAAACAAGTGAAACAACTAAACAAGTAAAAAAACAATAACTCAATAATAATTATATATTACTTAGCAAATGAGAAAATGAGATTATAATATTGGCTCAGTAAGCATATTTGTCCATATCAATGTATGGATTAAGGGCAAATTGCTTCAAATCTTCAACAATTGAACATTGAGCAACATACCAGCTTAATCCTTATTTCAGATCTTTGGTGGAAGCTTTCATCATTGTCAATTTGCCAAAATATATCAAAAACTCAAAAACTGCAAAAGGCAGCAACTTTACTTACTCTTACAAGTTAGTAAGCTACCAAGCCTTTACTTACTTACTCATCAAGGGAAGCAACTTAAAGTCACCAAGTTTCATTGCCTTAACATCAGAATATAAAGTCAGTTGAATAGTTGAATACAAGATTAAGATATTAATATATCATATAAAGTATAGAGATTGGAGAAGACCATTACATGAATACTTGGAAGTGTAGTTCCACAAGTCCTCCCACCAGACGCACTTCCACCATCAACACTAAATTCTGCAATTAAATCAAATAAGAAGAAGCTTGTTAGAATTCAATTGAATGAAAAAAAAAAAACTTAAATTGAATGATTGAAATAATACATTATTTTACCTTTCTCAAATCTTTCTAATTCTTCTATATTTTCTTCAATTGAAATGGGGGTATTTGGCAGCCTAAGCCAATCCTGGGTACATACCAAGGCTTCCACAATTTTAGGAGTTAAAGAACTCCTAAAAGGATCTAAAACCCTCCCAGATGTACTAAAGGCAGATTCTGAGGCAACAGTTGAGATAGGAATAGCTAAGATATCCCTAGAAATCTTAGAAAGGATAGGAAACCTTGCAGAATTGACCTTCCACCATCTCAGTATATCAAATGAACCTTCATCTTCAGTTATTGCATCACTCAAATAATATTCCAACTCAGTTTTTTTCCTCTCACCAGTTTCCATTCTTTGTTTCTTAATTTGGGCCTTCAATAGATGTTGTGGCCTCCCAACAGGGGCAGAAACAAACTCAACAACAGGATTAACAGATGCTACAGAACCAGAACCAGTAGCTGGGACAACAGATGAGCTATAACTCACAGCATAATCATCATACAATTCATTCAAAGCAGCCAACAATTTCTCAAGGTAATCTTTTCCTTTTTTTGTCACCATACATATGAACTAATTGAGTTGGCATATATTCTAACTTGTCCTTGGGGTCTAAAATGTTTGCAAAGAAAATCATATAATTCATTTTGTCAATATCACCCCAATATTTTTCAAATTTTGCTTTCATGTTAGCCCCCATTAGTTTCACAGCCCCATCAGCTTCCACCATTTCATTCAAGATACAATACAGATAAGATATTTCAGAGAAAAATGTGTTAGCTGTCACATATGGGGACCCTGAAATTCTGATAGTCATCTCATAGAAACATTTCAACAGCTTAACCAAGTTGTTCACAGACTCCCAATCCAGAGAAGTAGGAATAGAATCACCCATATAAGATTTGAAAGAGTTATCACTGTATTCATAGTCATCAAATACTTTCTGGTAGATCAAAGCAGACTGTAACATCAAATATGTGGAATTCCACCTTGTTGGCACATCAAGACACAAGGATGTTTTTTGCTCAATTCCACTATACTCTGCCAAATCCCTAAACTTCTTCAACCTTGAAGGAGAACTTCTGACATATCTAACAACCTCTCTAACCCTCTTAACAACAATATCACATTGTTTTAAACCATCTTGTACCACAAAGTTCAGAATATGAGCAATGCATCTCATGTGAAGATACTTACTCTTCACACTAGATGATCCCCAAGACAACACTTTCCTTTTTAAAAAACCAAGTGCAACATCATTTGATGAAGCATTATCTACTGTCACAGTAAACACATTCCTAAGCCCCCACTCTATCAAACAACTTTCAAGTGCTTTTGCAATATACTCACCCTTATGTGATGTAACAAGGACAAAAGAGATAATTTTTTTATGTAGCTTCCACTCCTCATCTATGAAATGTGCAGTTACAACCATGTAGTTTATCCTCTGAATAGATGTCCAAGAGTCAGTTGTAATACTGACTCTTTGAGTGTTTCCCCTAAACAAGCACTTCAAGTTCAATTTTTCTTCTTCATAAATAACATTGATATCCCTACTGATTGTCCACCTAGATGGAATTTTAAACCTAGGACAAGCCACTGCAATGAATCTCCTAAACCCTTGCCCCTCAACAAATATAAAGGGAAGTTCATCTATGATAATCATTTCTACCAAGGCTCTCCTAATGGTTTCCTGATTAAATACCCAAGTCCCCAACTCTCCCACAGTTGGTTCAGATGCATCACTAGTAGCAACAGCTTGAAATGTCAGAAGGGACTGCCTAGTATCTTTAGAGTGAGGGTTTTTCATACAGCTAACCATGTGGTTCCTTAAAGATGTAGTACCATGTTTTTTTGATTGACATTGATACAATTTTGCACAGTAGATACACTTTGCTTCTATAGTAACATTATTACTATCAGTAATCTTTTGAAAATGATCCCAAACTCTTGATCTGGATTCAACCACTTTCCTTTTCCTTGCAGGAACTGCAGCAGTAGGGAGCATAGTCTGTTGAGTAATTGTGTCAACAGTTTGGGCTTCCACTGCTGTTGCTCCTTGAGCAGAAGAATTGGGAGGTTCACAACCAGAACTAGGTATACTGATATTGTCCATCTATAAAGTGTGGAACATAATCAGTACACATAGTAGGAGATTGGAAATCATAATACACATAACATATTAACATTTAACACTTAACTGTTCCATATTTCCAACTCCATATTTCCATCAGGCATATATCAAACATTCAAACTATCAAAGAGACAAAGACAACAAAAGGACTCTCATCTCTGAATGCTAATCATCATATGGAGTATGGACAACAGTCACAACACATAGGCAGTTAGACACTATATATAGCTTCCACATTTCATCAAACATTCAAACTATCAAAGACAACCACTATACTCTCATCTCTGAATGCTCATCATATGGACTATGGAGTATGGACAACAGTCACAACACATAGGCAGTTAGGCACTATATATAGCTTCCACATTTCAGAGGCAATATATATCATAATATTTAAGGGTCCTCAATCCATAAACAAAAAAGACAACAGAGTCACAAATCATAACAGTTTCATATATTCATAATATATCACATTATCACAACTCACAAGTTCACAAGAATCACAAATCATAAATAGGGTTGGAGATTTACTTCTTTTCTCACACAAATTACCCAGAGAACAAGGGCCTTCAAGCAACGTCTAGGCCTCCAACTATCCACAAGTGAGTCAGTCAACAACCGAACAAAGCCTCCACCACAAAGCTTCCACCACAATCTCACAAAGAGTCAAAGAGAATACCAGAACAGCTGAGAGCCTGAGACGGTGAAACCCCAGAGAATATCGAAGACAGAATCAGAGAAAGGACTTCTACCGGACTATCAGAAATCTCAGAGATTGAGACTTGAGACTTGAGAGAACTTAGAGAAAAGGCTTCCACCGGAGAATCGGAGATTCTCAATCTCAACTCTCAAAGATTGAGACTTGAGAGTTGAGAGAACGGGAGAACTGAGAAACCCTAGGTTGAGAGTTGAGAGTCGAGAGAGAAATTAGAGAATGAGATTAGGTATATGAGAGAGTGAAGGCTCAAGGCTGCGCAGCGTACAAAGGATCATATATATAAACTAGGGACACGACGCCGTTTAATATACATCCATTCTAACCCTAGGCTTCATCGGGTTGTCGGACGGGTCGGGTGAGCATACACGAGACCCAAACCGACTCCATTTAACCGTTCAAATGGCTGGGCTGGTTCGGTTTTATGAGGTCAGGCGCCGGTTCGGTTCGAAAGGGCTATTTACCCGAATGGGTCGGGTTGACCCGACGATTTTGTCGGGTTTGCACACCCCTACCTGGTTCATGTGTATGTGTTTTGTGTTGTGACTTTTTGTGTATTGCGTTATGAAATTCTGTACATGAAACAAATTAATAATTGAGTCTTATGTTATGAACTTATGTGTCTTGTGTTGTGAAATTCTGTGCCTATAAACACAAATTATGTACCTAAATCAGATTTGAAAAATAAGTAAATATATAATATGTGTATGTGTTTTGTGTTATAATTTTTTGTGTCTTGTGTTATGAAATTCTGTACCTTACGAGTATGAATTCTATACCTCGTCTTTTCAGTCCAGTTGGGTCCATAATGCTACGCTATGTGTTTTGTGTTGTGAAATTTTGTACCTTACAAGTATTAATTCTATATCTTATTCTTTCAATTTAGGATTCATAATGCTACGTGGACCATGGTCCATGAGATAAATTGCCACAAAGTGAACCATGATTCATGGTATAATGATTGACAGTATATGTCCATATAGGCAGCTCAGTTGGTTACATGGGTGAAATTTAAGAAGAATGATCAGAGATCGAGTCTCAATGTCTCGCTGGGATTCAACCTTTTAGAAGAATGATTGACGGATTTGACGGTATAATTTGCCAAAAAACTGGGCAAATTATTGTATGGACAACTTGTGTGGACCATGAATATGGGGTACATTTTTAATATACTAAAGGTACATTATTTGTGTACTGAAGGTATATTATTTGATAGTATATATAAAAAAATATAATTTTAGTACTAAAATAATGTACCCTCGAATAATGTACTTTTAGTATATTAAAGATGTACTTTTTATTTATGGTCCACACAATTGTGTGGACCATGGTTCATGCAATAATGACTGAGGAAAGTGCAGTTGTTATATTATAGACCGCGGTGCATAATCGATTATGCACTGCGGCCCATATACGGCGCCCTTTCTTTAAGTAAAGAAACGGCCCGCTGTTAGAGTTAACGGAGTCCGTTTGTTTGGTGTATTAAACACCAACTGACACTACAGTATATCCAAACCGACACTGCAGTTATATCAAAATGATACTGTAGTTATAGTGAAATGAAACTGCAGTGTATATAAATTGAAACTGAATAACATTTCACATATTTGAGTGTATATTGTACAATGAAGCTGTAATTATATCAAAATGATCATGTAGTTGTGTTTTAATGAAATTATAGTGTATATAAAATAAAATTAAATAACATTTTCACATATTTGAGTCTATAAATATCGAATGAAACTATAGTTATATCGAAATGAAACTGTAGTTGTGTTCAACTGAAACTGTAGTGTATACAAAATGACACTGAATAACAGAGTTACATTTTGCAAAAGGGTGCGAAACGGCGGAAACAAACACTGTTAATTTTCATTTAAAAAAAAGACACGCGGTGCATAATCGATTATGCACCGCGGTGCATAATATAATTTGCCAGGAAAGTGAGATTGGGCCCGTCATAAAACAAATATGGGCCTTTAAATTTATAGGATAAAATTGTGGCCCATCATCGTTACTATCATTCAAAAACATGTCATGTCATATATATGAGCACTTGTTGTTCTCTGCCCACCTTATCTCCTTCAAATCGCTTCGTTCTCCGCTCATTCTGCAAGCTGCAATGGCCGACGACGAGAAAATGGAGGACCAGAATGCGCCCAATAATTACTCCACAGATTCAGATTCCGAGGAAGAGGAAGAGGAGATATATGAACATCCTTCAACCACCCGGGCGGAAACTGTCAGGAGGTTCGTGCGTGTGCTCAAGAAGAAGAAGCTAAGGAGAGAGTTGGATGAGGAGGAAAACGAAGGCCCTACTATTGAGGAAGAGTACGATTTCCCAGTGGACCCGGAGAAATGGACTGAGGAGGATGTGAAGGAGTTATGGGCGGACCCTCCAATTGGGTCGGGCAAAACCGGGTGGGACCCGAGCTGGGTCGACGCCGAGGATGAAGAGATGATTAGGGGGGAGTTGAGGGAGGGTCGAGACCCTTACTTTGGCCCGTTCTACGTGCCGTACCGGAAGCCGTACCCCGTGGTACCTGATAACCACCACGAGATTGCGACCCCAAAGGCTGTGATAGAAGAGCTCGATAAAATCGAGGAGTTCATGAGATGGGTCAGCTACATTTTCGAAGATGGTAGCTCGTAAGTGTTTCAACTTTGCAGCATTGAATGCTCATTTTTCTAAAACTCGCTGGTTTTTGGTCTGTCATTTCAATTTTGCTTGCTGGAGCCGCTGTTTTGTTACAGGAACTTCAATTTACCTGCTACTATTCATATTCATATTAGTTCTATTCAAATGTGATTGCTAACTATTCTTGGGCAATATGGTTTTCCGGCCTTAATTATGTCCAAGCTTTCATTTAAGCTTAATTTCAGCCATTATGAGTTGAATTCCCATGTTCAAGCATGAGATTATATTTCAAACTTGGTCTTCCTTCAGTGAGTTTGAGCTCTCTAGGGCATACTGGTCTGTATGTCCAGAGTGATTGAGTATGGAGATATCGTTCAGTGTAATCATTGGCTGTTTGAATTGATAGGAATTAATAGTTTAGAGTAATTGAAGAGTTGACAAACTTGAAATACTTGCTAAATATTCTCCTTACAATCCAAATGGACATGGCAGACAATAATTTAATACTTTAAATGCCAAATTTAACTTCATAGTAATGCTGCTAAAGTTTCTCTGGTTTAAAAATCAAAATTATTTTAGCCTTGATACAATGACCGGAGAAAGCAGGAGTCTATTGAAGAATTAAAAAGTTGGAGCATAAGGTGATGGTTTTGATTACTAACTGAACCACCTCAGCACTAATAGTATTAAGCTTTTTATGAGACCCAAATATTACTTATTCAGTTTACTATATTGATTTTGTTCTTAAGAGGGCAAGATTTCCTGAAATCTACTGATATTTTTTAATCTATTATCTTGCTTATGATATTAGGCTACATGCATTGATTCTCATAAAAATCAGTTGCTACAAGATTGTGTGCTAACCTATATGGAACAGTGAATCAGTGATTCATCACTTCTAAGCAGAGATGATATTTACTAATAATGTTGTACATTTAGCTTGAGCCATTTTACATGCTGTGGTTTTTGGTCTTCTACATTCCTTGGATAAGTCTCTTGGTTGATTTTTCTTGTGTCTTATTCAATTTTGTGTTTGTGTTTTGTTATATCAAATATGGTTTCCATTTGATGTAGGAAATTGTTACTGTTTTAAATGTTTGCTGTTTACCTTGGGCTTGTAAGCAATATGAATTGAAAACCTTTTTCTTGTTTTCTTGGTGCCTCATCAGTGTCTTAAAAACTGAAATTGATTGTGTCTAGTTAGTAGCTATTATTGTCCAATGTCATGATGCGGTGATCATGATGTTTCTGGAGGTGTGAGTGGTTTGCTGCTAAAGAATTCTGCACTTGTTCTTCTACAAATTGTGTGAAGTGTGAAAATGTATTCATAGTTTAGCTAGGGAAAGGTTTTAATGAAAATGCAATGTCCTTGTGAAATATAAAATCTTTTGATTTTTATTCTTTCAAGGTATGAAGGTACTGTTTGGGATGACAAGGCTCATGGAAAAGGTGTTTTTGTTGGTGAGAAAGGACTGGTCAGGTTTGTATATATAATATTTGAATAATTGTTCCAGATTAATGTATATACTAGTGTGTAGAGTGCACTCAGCTTTACAAAGTTACTTTTAATTTTATTGGCCTCTAGGATTGCCTGAGCATTTTTTTATTTTTATTTTTATTTTTATTTGC